TAATAATAATAATAATAATAACAAATATTTAACAGGATGGCCCATTAGTGTATTAAACACTGTAATCAAAGGTGTCCTGTGAAAAAAAAAGTATAGTGAAAATATGGTGAAAAAGGTAAAAAAGGCGTACAAAATTAGTAAGAATGTTCACTAAAGCATTTGTTAAATAGAAACTTGTCTTGAAGTTATGCATCTAAATTCGATTGGTAGTTCATCAAGAATCTTGGTTCCTTGATAGTGAAAGCTCTTCTTCCCAAATTCAAGGCGAACTTTAGGTAGTTTCACTGATAAACTATTGTTCCTTGTGTTTTTAGAGTGAAGTAATCTTTCAAAGTAGGTCTTACAGGGGGTGCAAACATTATTTTGAAGACAGTCGAAGAGAAACTGACTGCTTTTTCGCTTAATTAAGGGAGCTCAGTCGCGGTATTTTGAGTTATTTTGGCCTCATACAAAATTACCTTTAAATGGTAGGAAACCTGAAAACAACAGTTTAATAAGGTAAAAAAACACCAAAAACATAATGAAAACCATAAAGGAACAAGGATGGCTAAGGATAGAGAAGATTAACGCGGATTACAAACGACGAACTTGAAAAATTCAGGCTAAACTTTTTAATATGCGCAAACCGTGACGTACTCCTTTAAGTTCTCTGCTTCCGTGCTTTGACTTAGCCGTACCATTTAATTTTGTCCTTAGGCACAGAGGTTGTGTGAAGCACATTCTAGTAGAGCGAGGTCCAGAAGGCTTCTTTGGTTTATCGGTGAAATGCACCACGTATCCAACGTTGGTTGATTTAGTGCGACATTATCACGAGAACACGCTACAGGTTCATAACCCCGAACTCGATACAACCCTTAAATTCCCCCTGGGGAGTTTTGTGGGGTGAAACTCGTAAAATTTCACTCGAAGCTTTGTATTCCGTGCAATTTTGGTCGAAGCGAAGGAGGCCTGTCTAGGGTGGTGTAACAAGGGAAGTTCCTTGTTCCCTGGGGGCAATTTCTTAGTTCCGATGGGAAGTCCATTGTAGTATAAACTTGTAATTGTAATTTATTTTTCTTTGCGCAATTGCGTAGAAATCATTTATATAATATATAATATATAATATATAATATATAGATTTGGAATGTTGTTACTAATGCAAATAATCCAACATGTACCGAACTAGGATTACATCAGCAGATTCAGGTGTAAGATGGTGTAATGATGAAAAAAGAGCGATGATTTCAAGGATTTCAGGGGAGCCACCAAAAATGTTGATCACATCACAGAACTGTCTTCTGTGCTTTTTGGTGGCATTTCTTGTTCTTTCTTAATGAGAAAGACAAGACATTGTTATTAATCATTATATTCTTTCTTAGTTAACATGGGGACTCCCGCGCAAAAGAGGTTTACAGATTTTTATTGTTGTGGGGTATGACTGAAATGCAGTGGTTACAAAATACGAAGTCCCCAAATCTCTACCAAATGAGATCTCACAAAAATACCAAAATAGTATACACATGTAAAAAGTTCAAAAGTTTTGTTTTCTAACTTGATCCCCAAAGATAGTTAGCCATCTTCATTTTGTATGGAGTCTCCTCCTGCTGAAAGGGTTTGCACCATATCTCAAAGTATAAGTTTAAGCAAAATCACTCTGGCATGAACGATAAATATGATATTTTGTTGCAGATCATGAATACTTGCATAGGCTTCTGATAATAATTTTATTATTCAATTCCAAAGGGATTTGTTCTTTTTCTCGACTGAGATTGTGGACTACAGGAGCTGTTATTGGGTAGCATTAATTAATTTTGCTATGAATAAATTATACCAAGAATTATAAGTAAGCTATGAGTAAGTTATATTATGTACGTGTATTTTGTCTGCACTACATAACCAAACGCACTCAAAGATTATGAGGCATAGGTACATTTGTCAGAAAAAGCCACCATATCCAAGATATGTTTTGATTGGCACATCAATTAAAGATAATTTACAGCAAAATGGACAAACAATACATCAATATCCTACATGCACCAAAGCTGGACATGGGGTTACAAGGCAATCATTTAAACAGCAGATTGAAATAATTTATAAATTAGAGAGCTCTATTTGTACAACACTAGGGAACAAATTAACCTTATTGCACGTTGCGAATGGCAAGGCTGTCGGTAGAATGTCACAGATTCCTCAACTCTTTCTTTCTACAAAAATACTAATCCTGCAACTTTGCTGAAGACCCAGTTCTCCATTTCGTGTTGGCAAAATATTAATTTATGCCATGCTCAATGCAGGTTATCACAAAATTGATTTAAGAGAAACATAAACCAAGCACAATAAATATCATTTTTAAGCCAAAAAAGCAATTATTTAACTAAACCATGACATG